CATCCGACCTCTGACATGGTGTCTTCTGGCGGGGGAGGGGGAGAAAAGGGGCTGGGGGCTTGGGGAAGGGCTGTAGGGCAGGGGGGACACGGACAAGGACAAAAGGAGGAGATGGGACACAGGGGCGGGGGGGACGTGGAGTCCCCAAGGAGGGGCTGTGGGGGACAGGGGGACACTCTGGGGTACACTGGGGACACTGGGGGTGCCATTCTGGGGGTCCCCCACCCTCTGTGTCCCCCCAGGGCTGTTTGGGCTGGTGTGACCAACCCCACTGACCCCAGGGCACGTGGGGACACTCTGGGGGTCCCAGGGGACACTCGGGGGGTGCCAGGGGACACTCTGGGGGTCCCAGGGGACACTCGGGGGGTGCCAGGGGACACTCGGGGGGTGCCAGGGGCACTCGGGGGGTGCCAGGGGACGCTGTGGCTGTGCCATTCTGGGGTCCCCCCCTCTCCAGGGGTACTCTGGGGGTGCCATTCTGTGGGTCCCCCACGCTCCGTGTCCCCCAAGGCTGTTTGGGCTGGTGTGACCAACCCCACTGACCCATGTGGGTCACTCTGGGGGTGCCAGGGGCACTCTGGGGGTGCCATTCTGTGGGTCCCCCACGCTCCGTGTCCCCCAGGGCTGTTTGGGCTGGTGTGACCAACCCCACTGACCCATGTGGGTCACTCTGGGGGGGCCAGGGGCACTCTGGGGGTCCCAGGGGACACTCGGGGGGTGCCCGGGGTACTCTGGGGGTGCCAGGGGCACTCTGGGGGTCCCAGAGGCTCTGGGGTCCCCCCCTCTCCAGGGGTACTCTGGGGGTGCCAGGGGCACTCTGGGGGTCCCAGGGGACACTCTGGGGGTCCCAGGGGACACTCGGGGGGTGCCAGGGGTACTCTGGGGGTGCCATTCTGGGGGTCCCTCACGCTCCGTGTCCCCCAAGGCTGTTTGGGCTGGTGTGACCAACCCCACTGACCCATGTGGGTCACTCTGGGGGTGCCAGGGGCACTCTGGGGGTGCCATTCTGTGGGTCCCCCACGCTCCGTGTCCCCCAGGGCTGTTTGGGCTGGTGAACAACGCGGGCATGGCCAACCCCACTGACCCCAGGGCATGTGGGGACACTCTGTGGGTCCCAGGGACACTCTGGGGGTCCCAGGGGCACTCTGGGGGTGCCAGGGGACACTGTGGCTGTGCCATTCTGGGGGTCCCCCACGCTCCGTGTCCCCCCAGGGCTGTTTGGGCTGGTGAACAACGCGGGCGTGGCCAACCCCATCGGCCCCACGGAGTGGATGGACATGGAGGACTTCCGGCGGGTCATGGCCGTCAACGCCTTCGGGGCCATCGAGGTGACGCTGCAGCTGCTGCCGCTGCTGAAGCGCGCGCGGGGCCGCGTGGTCAACACCTCCAGCGTGCTGGGCCGCGTCTCCGCCAACGGCGGCGGCTACTGCATCTCCAAGTTCTGCATCGAGGCCTTCTCCGACAGCCTCAGGTGGGCGCGGGCCCTGGGCACGGGCTGAGCCCTGGGCACGGGCTGAGCTGAACCATGGGCACGGACTGAGCCCTCCTGGGCATGGGCTGAACCATCCTTGGCACGGACTGAGCTGAGTCCTGGGCATGGGCTGAGCTCTCCTGGGCACGGCCTGAGCCCTCCTGGGCATGGGCTGAGCTGAGCCCTGGGCATGGGCTGAGCTGAGCCCTGGGCATGGGCTGAGCCCTCCTGGGCATGGGCTGAGCGCTCCTGGGCATGGGCTGAGCCCTGGGCATGGGCTGAGCCACCCTGGGCATGGGCTGAGCCACCCTGGGCATGGGCTGAGCCACCCTGGGCATGGGCTGAGCCACCCTGGGCATGGGCTGAGCTGAGCCCTGGGCACGGGCTGAGCCCTCCTGGGCATGGGCTGAGCCGTGGGCATGGGCTGAGCCCTGGGCATGGGCTGAGCTGAGTCCTGGGCACGGGCTGAGCCCTCCTGGGCAAGGGCTGAGCCACCCTGGGCACGGGCTGAGCCACCCTGGGCATGGGCTGAGCGCTCCTGGGCATGGGCTGAGCTGAGCCCTGGGCATGGGCTGAGCCCTCCTGGGCACGGCCTGAGCGCTCCTGGGCACGGCCTGAGCCACCCTGGGCACGGGCTGAGCCCTGGGCACGGGCTGAGCCACCCTGGGCATGGGCTGAGCGCTCCTGGGCATGGGCTGAGCTGAGCCCTGGGCATGGGCTGAGCCCTCCTGGGCACGGCCTGAGCGCTCCTGGGCACGGCCTGAGCCACCCTGGGCACGGGCTGAGCCCTGGGCACGGGCTGAGCCACCCTGGGCATGGGCTGAGCGCTCCTGGGCATGGGCTGAGCTGAGCCCTGGGCATGGGCTGAGCCCTCCTGGGCACGGCCTGAGCGCTCCTGGGCACGGCCTGAGCCACCCTGGGCACGGGCTGAGCCCTGGGCACGGGCTGAGCCACCCTGGGCATGGGCTGAGCGCTCCTGGGCATGGGCTGAGCTGAGCCCTGGGCATGGGCTGAGCCCTCCTGGGCACGGCCTGAGCGCTCCTGGGCACGGCCTGAGCCACCCTGGGCACGGGCTGAGCCCTGGGCACGGGCTGAGCCACCCTGGGCATGGGCTGAGCGCTCCTGGGCATGGGCTGAGCTGAGCCCTGGGCATGGGCTGAGCCCTCCTGGGCACGGCCTGAGCGCTCCTGGGCACGGCCTGAGCCACCCTGGGCACGGGCTGAGCCCTGGGCACGGGCTGAGCCACCCTGGGCATGGGCTGAGCGCTCCTGGGCATGGGCTGAGCTGAGCCCTGGGCATGGGCTGAGCCCTCCTGGGCACGGCCTGAGCGCTCCTGGGCACGGCCTGAGCCACCCTGGGCACGGGCTGAGCCCTGGGCACGGGCTGAGCCACCCTGGGCATGGGCTGAGCGCTCCTGGGCATGGGCTGAGCTGAGCCCTGGGCATGGGCTGAGCCCTCCTGGGCACGGCCTGAGCGCTCCTGGGCACGGCCTGAGCCACCCTGGGCACGGGCTGAGCCCTCCTGGGCACGGGCTGAGCCCTCCTGGGCACGGGCTGAGCCCTCCTGGGCACGGGCTGAGCCCTCCTGGGCACGGGCTGAGCCCTCCTGGGCACGGGCTGAGCCCTCCTGGGCACGGGCTGAGCCCTCCTGGGCACGGGCTGAGCCCTCCTGGGCACGGGCTGAGCCCTCCTGGGCACGGGCTGAGCCCTCCTGGGCACGGGCTGAGCCCTCCTGGGCACGGGCTGAGCCCTCCTGGGCACGGGCTGAGCCCTCCTGGGCACGGGCTGAGCCCTCCTGGGCACGGGCTGAGCCCTCCTGGGCACGGGCTGAGCCCTCCTGGGCACGGGCTGAGCCCTCCTGGGCACGGGCTGAGCCCTCCTGGGCACGGGCTGAGCCCTCCTGGGCACGGGCTGAGCCCTCCTGGGCACGGGCTGAGCCCTCCTGGGCACGGGCTGAGCCCTCCTGGGCACGGGCTGAGCCCTCCTGGGCACGGGCTGAGCCCTCCTGGGCACGGGCTGAGCCCTCCTGGGCACGGGCTGAGCCCTCCTGGGCACGGGCTGAGCCCTCCTGGGCACGGGCTGAGCCCTCCTGGGCACGGGCTGAGCCCTCCTGGGCACGGGCTGAGCCCTCCTGGGCACGGGCTGAGCCCTCCTGGGCACGGGCTGAGCCCTCCTGGGCACGGGCTGAGCCCTCCTGGGCACGGGCTGAGCCCTCCTGGGCACGGGCTGAGCCCTCCTGGGCACGGGCTGAGCCCTCCTGGGCACGGGCTGAGCCCTCCTGGGCACGGGCTGAGCCCTCCTGGGCACGGGCTGAGCCCTCCTGGGCACGGGCTGAGCCCTCCTGGGCACGGGCTGAGCCCTCCTGGGCACGGGCTGAGCCCTCCTGGGCACGGGCTGAGCCCTCCTGGGCACGGGCTGAGCCCTCCTGGGCACGGGCTGAGCCCTCCTGGGCACGGGCTGAGCCCTCCTGGGCACGGGCTGAGCCCTCCTGGGCACGGGCTGAGCCCTCCTGGGCACGGGCTGAGCCCTCCTGGGCACGGGCTGAGCCCTCCTGGGCACGGGCTGAGCCCTCCTGGGCACGGGCTGAGCCCTCCTGGGCACGGGCTGAGCCCTCCTGGGCACGGGCTGAGCCCTCCTGGGCACGGGCTGAGCCCTCCTGGGCACGGGCTGAGCCCTCCTGGGCACGGGCTGAGCCCTCCTGGGCACGGGCTGAGCCCTCCTGGGCACGGGCTGAGCCCTCCTGGGCACGGGCTGAGCCCTCCTGGGCACGGGCTGAGCCCTCCTGGGCACGGGCTGAGCCCTCCTGGGCACGGGCTGAGCCCTCCTGGGCACGGGCTGAGCCCTCCTGGGCACGGCCTGAGGCCTCCTGGGCATGGGCTGAGCCCTCCTGGGCACAGGCTGAGATCTCCTGGGCACGGCCTGAGCTGAGCCCTCCTGGGCATGGGCTGAGCTGAGCCCTGGGCATGGGCTGAGCCCTGGGCATGGGCTGAGCCCTGGGCATGGGCTGAGCTGAGTCCTGGGCACGGGCTGAGCCCTCCTGGGCAAGGGCTGAGCCACCCTGGGCACGGGCTGAGCCCTGGGCATGGACTGAGCTGAGTCCTGGGCACGGCCTGAGCCCTCCTGGGCATGGGCTGAGCTGAGCCATGGGCATGGGCTGAGCCCTCCTGGGCACGGGCTTAGCCACCCTGGGCATGGGCTGAGCCCTGGGCACAGCCTGAACCCTCTGGCCACACACTGATCCTTCCGGCCATGCCCTGACCCCTTCAGCTACACCATGAGCTCTCTGACCACCCCGTGCCCACCCTGTGCCCCTCCCCAGGCGGGACATGCGGCACTCTGGGGGCAAGGTCAGCATGGTGGAGCCAGGCTTCTTTGGCCATGCCCTGACCCCTTTGGCCACCTCCTGACCCTCCTGCCCACCCCCTGATCCCTCTGGCTACCCCATAACCCCCGTCCCCCCTGACCCTGTCCGTGCCTCAGTTTCCCTGTCCCCTCACGTCCCCCCTGACCCTGTCCGTGCCTCAGTTTCCCTGTCCCCTCACGTCCCCGCTGACCCTGTCCGTGCCTCAGTTTCCCCCCCCTCACGTCCCCGCTGACCCTGTCCGTGCCTCAGTTTCCCTGTCCCCTCACGTCCCCGCTGGCCCTGTCCGTGCCTCAGTTTCCCCGTCCCCCCCCAGACGTGCGGGTGCAGCGGCTGCTGCTGTCGCTGCTGTGCGACAGGGACCTGGCCAAGGTGACGAACTGCATGGAGCACGCGCTGCGGGCGCGCCACCCGCGCAGCCGCTACAGCGCCGGCTGGGACGCCAAGCTGCTCTGGCTGCCGGCCTCCTACCTGCCCTCGGCCCTCGTGGACCTGGCCCTGGCCCTCGTCCTGCCCAGGCCGGCCCAGGGCGGCCGCTGAGAGACCCCAGACCCAATTGAAACCCCCCAGACCCGAATTAAACCCCCCAGACCCGAATTAAACCCCCCCAGACCCGAATTAAACCTCCCCAGGGGGAATAAATGCCCTGAACTCGCCCATCCTTGTTTTCGTTCAGCTTGGGGGATTTGGGGACACTGAGGGGGCACTTGGGGCATCACAGACGTGGCCCTGGCCCTCAGCCTGCCCCAGGGCGGCCGCTGACAGACCCCAGACCCAATTGAAACCTCCCAGACCCAATTGAACCCCCCCAGACCCGAACTGAACCCCCCAGGGGGAATAAATGTCCTGAACTAGTCTGTCTTGTTTTCGCTCAGTTCAGGGGATTTGGTGGTGTAATAAATGTCCTGAACTCGCCCGTCCTTGTTTTCGCTCAGCTTGGGGGATTTGGGGACACTGAGGGGGCACTTGGGGCATCACAGATGTGGCCCTGGCTCTCAGCCTGCCCAGAGCAGCCACTGAGAGACCCCAGACCCAAATGAACCCCCCCAGACCCGAATTGAACACCCCCAGACCCGAATTAAACCCCCCAGCGTGGTGTAATAAATGTCCTGAACTCGCCCGTCCTTGTTTTCGCTCAGCTTGGGGGATTTGGGGACACTGAGGTGGCACTTGGGGCATCACAGATATGGCCCTGGCTCTCAGCCTGCCCAGAGCAGCCACTGAGAGACCCCAGACCCCAATGAAACCCCCAGACCCAAATTAAACCCCCCTAGATCTGAATTAATCCTCCCCAGGGGGAATAAATGTCCTGAACTCGTCTGTCGTTGATCTGCTTGGGGTTAAAAGGTGATTTGGGGACACTGAGGTGGCATTTGGAGACTCATGGACCTGGCCCTGGCCCTCGTCCTGCCCAGGCCGGCCCAGGGCGGCCGCTGAGAGACCCCAGACCCAATTAAAACCCCAGACCCGAATTAAACCCCCCCATACCCGAATTAAACCCCCCCAGACCCGAATTAAACCCCCCTGCAGTGGTGTAATAAATGTCCTGAACTAGTCTGTCCTTGTTTTCGCTCAGCTCGGGGGATTTGGGGACATTGAGGTGGCACACACAGCCCCATGGACCTGGCCCTGGCCCTCGTCCTGCCCAGGCCGGCCCAGGGCGGCCAATGAGAGCCCCCAGACCCAAATGAAACCCCCAGACCCAAATTAAACCCCCCAAGGGTGGGCAGTGAACGTCCTGAACTCGCCTGTCTCTGTTTTCTCTCAGCTCGGGGGATTTGGGGACACTGAGGTGGCACGTGAGGGTCTGGGGACATGGAGGTGGCACACGGAGCCCCCAGAACCAGACCCCAGCCCCACGGGGTCAGTGGGGCACGGGGGGGGACCCCAAAACTCCGGGATGGAGCCCCCCAACCCCATAAGAGACCCCCAACCCCATGAGGGACCCCCAACCCCCACGAGGGTCCTTGTCCCCCGGGGGGGGGTCAGGGGGCTCGGGGACCCCCCTGGAGGGTCAGGGTGAGGAATTGGGGAGGGGTCTCACCCTGGTGAAGACGGTGGCCGGGCTGGGCCGGACGTTGCAGCCCGGGCTGGGCTGGCGGCAGCAGGAGCTGGGCACGGAGTCGTTGGCCCTGAACTGCTCCAGGCTGGCCCAGTCCGTGTAGTTATCCACCCCACAGCACGAGAACTGCCCGGAAAAAGGGTCAGCCACGGCGGGGGGGGCTCCAGGAGCAGCCCCCTCCCCAAATGGGGGCTGCCCCCCAGGCTCACCTCCTGCTGGAAGGCGTCCAGGGCGGCGGTCAGCGACGGGTCCTTGTCGTAGCTTCTCACGGCCTCCCAGAGCCCCTCCTCCACCAGCCCGTGCACCTGGGGGGGCACGGGGGGGTCACGGGGGGGGGAAGAGACCCCCCGGGGGAGCGGAGGGGTCAGGGACCCCCGGGGTGGGGGGAGAGGCCCCCACCTTGTGCTTGAAGACGTAGCCGGTGATGGCGGCGGCGATCTCCACCAGGAAGATGAGGCTGAGCAGGACGGCGAACTGGGGGGGCACGGGGGGGTCAGGGGGGCTTGGGGGGGTCCCGTGCTGTCCTGGGGGGTGTCCCGGGGGGTATCCCGGGGGGTATCCCGGGGGTCTCCCAGGGTATCCTGGGGCGTGTCCTGGGGGGTGTCCCGGGGGTGCTCGGGGGTCTCCCGGGGTGTCCCGGGGGGTGTCCGGGGCTGTCCCGGGGGTCCCAGGGGGTGTCCCGGGGGTCTCCCAGGGTATCCCGGGGGGTGTCCCGGGCTGTCTCGGGGGTGCTCGGGGGTCTCCCGGGGTGTCCCGGGGGTCCCGGGGGGTGTCCCTGGGGGTGTCCCGGGGGTGTCCCGGGGCTGTCCCGGGGGGTGTCCCGGGGCTGTCCCGGGCTGTCCCGGGGGTCTCCCAGGGTGTCCCAGGGGTGTCCTGGAGGTCTCCCAGGGTGTCCTGGGGTGTCCCGGGCTGTCCCGGGGGGTGTCCCGGGGGTCTCCCAGGGTGTCCCGGGGGCTGTCCCGGGGGGTGTCCCGGGCTGTCCCGGGCTGTCCCGGGGGTCTCCCAGGGTGTCCCAGGGGTGTCCCGGGGGTCTCCCAGGGTATCCCAGGGGGTGTCCCGGGCTGTCCCGGGGGTGTCCCGGGGCTGTCCCGGGGGTCCCGGGGGTCCCGGGGGCCGCCCCCCTCACCGTGGTGACCATGCAGTAGCTCTCCCTCCAGGCGCCGCAGCAGCCGAAGAAGGAGGTGAAGAAGATGACGACCCCCAGCACCAGCACGGCCGCGGGGGTCCAGCCCGCGCCGCCCACCGGGGCCCGGCCCAGGCCCAGCAGCACGTAGATGCCGATGGCGATCAGGGCCACGCCGCACACCTGGGGGGGACGAGATGGGGTCCCCCCCCGGCCCTGCTGGGGACAGGATGTGGCTTCACCCAGAGTGACAACAACCCCCCCTCCCCTCCTCCCCCCGCACCGGGGACCCCCAAACCCGGGGGGATCCGCCCGGTTCTGCCGGTGCCGGGACCCCCGGTGCCCCCCGGTGCCCCCGGGCCGGACTCACCCAGAAGATGAAGTTGAAGAAGAAAACCAAGAACTTCACGCATTTCATCCCGCCCTCGATCGCCATGGCCCGCCCGTGCTGCGGGAGCGGCCGCTCAGCACCGGCACCGCCACCGGCACCGGGCCCGCCGCCGCGGCCGGTACCGCTCCCCGCGACCCAGGAACCGCCGGCCCGGGCCCCGCCCCGCTCCCGGTACCGGCACCGCTCCACCCGGCCCGGCGCTCCCGGTGCCGCTCCCGGTACTCCCGGTACCGCTCCACCCCGTTCCGGTACTCCCGGTACCCCCCGGTCCCGGTTGTCCCGGAGTTCCCGGGGCTGCTCTCCCCCTGCCCCGCTCCCCCTCCGGTTCCCGGTGGTCTCGGTACCACTTTCCCCCACTCCCGGTGGTCCCGGTCCCCCTCCCCCCCATTCCCGATGATCCCGGTCCCGTTCCCCCCCACTCCCGGTGGTCCCGGTGCCGTTCCCCCCCCAATCCCGGGGGTCCCGGTGCCCCTCACCGCCGCCCTTCCCGAGGGCTCCGGATCATGTGACGGGGACGAGCCGGGAGAGCCCCGGGACCGCCCCGGGCCCGCCCCGGCACCGGCACCGCCCCCGGCCCGCCAACACCGAGCGTGCGAGCGACCCTTTATTGGGGGGCACTTGGGGACACCGAGGGGACACCGAGGGGACACCGGGGGAACACCGAGGGGACACCGAGGGGACACCGGGGGAACACCGGGGGGACACCGGGGGAACACCGAGGGGACACCGGGGGGACACCGAGGGGACCCGGCACTCTGAGCTGAACCGCGTCCCGCACCGGGGTCCCTGTGACCCCTGAACCCTGACCCGGGGGTCCCTGTCCCCCCCCGACCCCTCATCCGGGGGTCCCTGTGACCCCCGACCCCTCATCCGGGGGTCCCTGTGACCCCTGACCCCTCATCCGGGGGTCCCTGTGACCCCTGACCCCTCACCCGGGGGTCCCTGCTGTCCCCCTGTCCTTGGTCCCTGTCACCCTGGTCCTGCACCCCAAGGTCCTCGGGACCCCCAGCCCCTCCCCCTGGGGGTCCCAAACACCCTGGACCCTCCCCCTTGGGGTCCCAGCCCCTCCTGACCCCACACCCGGGGGTCCCTGTCTCCCCCCGACCCCACACCCGGGGGTCCCTATCACCCCTGACTGTCCCCCGTGTCCCCCGTGTCCCCCAGCCCTCCCAGCGCCGCCAGCACCGCCCGCAGGTGCGGGGGGTGCACGAAGGCCACGAGCCCCCCGCGGTTGGCCCAGCGCTCGGGCCCGGCCCGGCCCGGTTCGGGCCGGTTGTAGAGCAGCTCGGGGGGGTCCCCGGGGTCCCCCTCCCGCCGCGCCCGCAGCGCCCCCTCCAGGGCCACCACGCCGCCGCCCAGGGCGCGCAGGATGGCGTGGGGCGCGCACGAGTCCCAGGCGAAGGTGGTGGCCTGCGACAGCACGAAGGCGTCCGCCAGCCCCAGCGCCACGCACAGCAGCTTGTAGCCGGCCCCGGCGGCGAAGAGCGGGGGACCCCCCCCCAGCGAGGCCAGAGCCCCCCGAACCGCCGCGGCCTCGGCCCGGCTCAGCACCACGCGGGGACACGGCCGGGGGACAGGAGGGGACAGCGAGCACAGCCGCGTGTCGCCGTGCGCCACCCCCCAGTGGTAGCGACCCTGCCACCTGCGGGAGGGAGGGGACAGGGGGACGTGAGATTG